AAAGAAAGAAAGAAAGAAAGAAAGAAAGAAAGAAAGAAAGAAAGAAAGAATTATATTTACCTCATCAGATTATTGTGGGGATTAAATTAATAAAATAAAGAAAGCTTTTGGAACGGTGTGCTCCAACATAGGTGGCATGCAAACATTTGTGGTTGACTGTGTTCCTGTTTTCCATGCAGATATACACAATGGGGACACATTTCGTGTACAATATAAACAAGGTACAGACTATCATGGGATATATCTATCACTAGGATCGCAGGAAAATTATTAAATAACTATGTAACTTAATTTCAGGTAATGATAAATGCTATGAAGACAAATTAAGCAAGGTGAAGGTAGAAAGGGTGATGGGCAGGGTCTTCTTTTAAAAAGGTGATGAGCTAACACAGTGACTTGGCATGAAGCCCTGCAGTCAACAATACAAACGGCCAAGAAATTCCATGCTGAGGAAGTTCCCTGGGTCATGGCAATGTCAGTGAAGGCCCTTGGGGAAGGATTTCAGTAGGGAGACAGGACGGGTCTGATCCCTCGGGAAAGGCAAGCCACTCGCTGGAAAACACTCAGGCAAGTGCATCAGGGCGTGATCATGGGGAAGACAGTGCGATGCCAAGCCGCAGTGGCCCCAGTGGGTTTGGGGAAATATTCGAAAATGCTTCTGAATAGGCAGGACAGAGCTATGTTATGAGAAATCTGGAAAGCCAAGTACGTACGTTGTAGGTGTGTTGTGGTAGGACATAGTCAAAGTGTTGGAGGATTTTGCATGACACGGTGATGCTGTTCTTTAGAGAAGACAAGACGGAGTGGGCTGCAGTTATAGTGCCAGGCAGTGGACACTGCTGGGGAACCCGGAGCGTCCCACGGAGAGATTGGAGCCCAGAGAGGGCAGGGCTCCTTCTGAAGAACAGGCTTGGCGCTGCCTTGGGTATATGGGAGCTGTCTTCCCTTTCCATTGTGGTTATGATGATAAATCCTGCACTTCGGATCATTCCCCAGGTTACTCCCCTGAGACAACCAAGGCTCCTGCAAGGCTGGAAGAGCAAGGCCTTCCTTACTTTAAACAAGAATGGTTGCCCCTTACCCTGCCCCTAACAACTAGCAGAGTTTGTTAGCCCAAGCCACAGAAATTCCAAGACCAGAAAGAAAGCAATATTAAACTCCAGGACAGTGTTCGTAATGTCAAAGGTAGTAATCTTGAAAAATGAGTCTTTTCTCTCTGGAGGGCACTGAGGTCTAGATACAGAATATCCACGTTGTGCAAGGCATAGTGCCAGGCCCAGCATCTGCTTTTCCAGACATTGTAACATTTCAAGATCTTACTGTGTGTCTTCAAGCCGTGAGAATCAAGTGGAAATAATGGATGCCCATCCAGAAGGTAGCTACTGCCCTGTGACTAGAACTCGATACTGCGATAAGTATTCCAATACTTTGTGCAAGCCAGTGGAATGGACAGAAAGGGGGCCTAGAGGAGAAAAGATTATGCTTCTCAGCCGTGGCAGGTGCCTGGCTGAGACCCACTATATCAGAAGACAGATGCACAAGAAGAAAGCACATACATGTATTTAATGTAAGTTTTATGTAACATGGGAGACTTCAGAAATGAAGACCCAAAGAAACAGGGAAGTACATGGATATTTAGGTTTGACGAAGACTTGGGCAGTCATGCACAACTATGATTGGACAAAGTGGGTGTGACCTAATGGTTATAAAATGAGGGGAACTTAGCAAGGCCTTTGTTCAGATGCCTCTTGGTGTCTTTGTGTCTTCATTCCTTTCCTCCCAATACAGGGGGCAATCTTCTGTAATGAGAGGCTTGTGACTTATTTTGGAGAAAGGCCAGAGAATTCTTTCATGGCCTGCTTCAGGGGAGAATGGTGGAAGAAGGTCCGAGAGACCGTCCTGCTTCTGTCTCCTTAAATGCCAGCATGCCATATTCTAGGATAACGTCTTCTGAGCCCTGTTACTCGTCTTGTGTTATCCTTCAAGGGGCATCTTCCTGCTTCATTTCTTAGTCTTGCTTTATTTACGGCTTGTTCTTATCTTTCTCCCTCTTTCCTTTCTTCTTTACAAAGCAAATTCTCCTGGCAAGGTAGAATTGCAGTGCTCTTTCAAGAATTGCACGGCTGCTGCAGGATGTATGGCTTTTCATGTTTGTCATCTATATAGAGCCATATTCAAATAGGATGACTGGGTCTGGTTAGAGATGTCAGGATTTCAGTGCACCTGCTGAAATGTACACTGGCCTGCACCACGAGAGGGACATGGAAACAGGCCTAGGGAATGTGGTACTTTTGATCTTTATCCGTACTCCTCCCTCCCTCTTATAACTCTCACAAAATTTGCCCTCAAAAGACACCTTTCACAAAAAGTCAAACATCTCACTTCCTTCTACAACTTCCCTGACTGGTTTGTATTCATTTGAGCTTCTCTGGCAAAGCTGAGCCTCGCTTTGAAAACTCTGGGATCTATTTCATTCTATGCTGCGCACTTCACATGAGTTCCTTCTGTGCAAGCTGGAGACTCCTCTGGGCTCCTTCCCTGAGTGTTATGCTGGCTTCTTCCTAGACTTCTCATTCGGCTCTGTGTGTGTGTGCATGTGTGTGTATGCATACACGTGAGCGTTCACCCTGTAGCTGTAGGTGTAAGGGATGCAGGGATGGAATTTTCCATCAGAGGATCACTGAAGGCATACTAATTAACTTGTTCTCTTTGTTTTCTCTGAAATAATTTTTGTCTTGGACAAATTGAGAAGTAAAAGATTTCATTTTTCACTGAAAAATAAGATGTCCATGTTACCAACAGCCTGCTTTGGATTTCCGAAAGATAATCTGAAAGGCCAGGAAGCACACTCCAGTTAGGCTTAATACTGATGGACCCAATCCTCCTTTGAACAAAGGAGCCCTCGATTTACGCCTCTATGGCCCATTTTAGCAAGTTCAATCTTTCCATTAACCCCTGGTAACCATAATGACTTCCTAATACCAGTTAATTAACAAATACCGGGGTGCCACCAAATGCATCCCTGAAGTGCCTTTGGTGTGGTCCCCGGCCTGCTGAAACGAAGTGTGGGTCCCGCCTTTGTTCTTCCCCAGGACTTTTCTTGTGGGCTCACAGCACTTTGAATCTCAAATGAGCTGCCTAATTAATCTCCACAACTATCCTGTGAGACTTGTCCATTATCTTCACTTTGCAGATAGTAACAATTTATAGGACTTGGCTGAGGTCACAGGAAAATTAGCATCAGAGCCAGAATAAAATTCTGAGTTCCTAAACCCCTTTCCTCTTATCCTGTTCCCTAGACAACATCATTTCATCCTCTTGGTATAAAATTAGTAAGTGTGGTAGGGCCTTATTGCATCGTAATGAACTACTGTTTGGTACGTGTGACCTAGTGGCTAAGGGCTTTTTTTTTTTTTTCCTTCAATGCAGTCTGAAAAAGTACCAAAACAATTATTTTTGGAATACGTCTTACAGAATGGCTTTTAGACCCCACGTGCCAACTCGTCTCCATGAAAGGAATGTCATTTACACAACACACTGAACATCTCCATGGCTCAGGTATTCCTGTGCCAGGACTTAGAGAAGACGCTGACCCTCAGGTGTTTTCTTTTTTGCTAATAAATTGTGGGTGAAATGTTTTGGACTCGGTGCATGCTGCAATAATTGCAAATGAGATTTACCTGTACATGAATTTTCTCCGTGTGATCTTGTTCGATCTTTCTTGGTGTGGTTCTGTTATGGCAAGAGACATCTTCCTCTGCATCAGAGTATGAAACACCTTAAAGGCATTGCATGGCTGAAGTGCAGGTCTGTATCTTTTAGCACTAGTTATTTGACAGGAAAGGGTGTAAATCCACGTGGTGTTAATTCAATTCCACAAGCATTCATTGAACAGGATCTAATGACAAGGCAGTGCCAGGGACTGTGAATGGGGCTGGAGGCAGACACATGCCCAGGGTGACTTTAGGGAGGCCTCTCCCATGTGCTCATTTGGAAAATCAGAAGGAAGGTGACACACTCTTGATTCTCTCTGGCTCAGATGTTCAAGAACATTGTGATCACTTCAGATAATGTTTATCTTATTTATGATGTTGCACTGACACAGACTGCTAAGGCTAGATTCCCACCCTCTCTGTTAACAAGTAAACAAGTCCTTAAGCGGATTATGGGAACTAACTAACGAGTAATTAGAAGCATTTCGTAAAGTCACTAGAATGGAATCCCAGGGTGGACCCTTTGGGAGAGGGTGAGTTCTTTGACAATGCAAATACATTCTTTAGATTCCAGGTTCCAGTGTGGTTTCTGGGTGGTGAAGTGAGAGGAGCTTGCTTTGGAGAAGTGGAGTTGGCCATAGAAAGGTGTGTTTGATTCTATTGACAATTATCTATCAGGAGCTAGATCTGGGGGGACAGCTAGAAACACTGACATAATTCTTACTTTGTTATGTTGGCTTTAAGAATAAAAATTTTCACATACAGATGACTATTCTATACTTTCAGGCTTATTATCAACCTGTAGCACTCCAAAGCTTTCAATTATTGTTAATATATTTGAGTTAAATATCAGAGTAATAGGCATTACTTACATTTAGAAAATTGCAACCAGTAAGAGGCATTTCATTTATCATGCATTTAACTTTTGAGACATAATGAAGAGTTTCCTAAAACTTTTTAAAGCTGAATGTTATGGAAGAAACATTCTCACCATAACTCTTAAAAATTGCATATCCTTACAAGTGAATACCATATCAAAATATGAAAATTATTACAGACATGTATTAATTACTTAAAACTGACAAATGGTAAACAGAAATGTCATTTTTTTCATTAGTACAGAGAAAGCTCCCTCACTCCTCTCAAATACCTACTGTGATGAATTGGTTATTTCAAACCATGTAGTTGCACAAATCGACATTAATGTGAATGATGATGGCATGTCCCTTCTGAGGAATTGCATTTAGGAGGTACGTGTATGACAGCTTACATGTAATCTTCAGGCTTGTATTTATGCCACAAGAAAATAGACTTTCTTCAATGATTCACTTCATCACAGGTGGCCTACCTGCCTGAAAGACATCTTCATGTCAAAATTGGCTGACTTTCTCAAGCACAACTAATCCACATTCCCATAGGAATTGAAGAAGGATATGACTAATCAGTTGAAAACAGTTCTTTAATTTGTTTAACATGTCAAACTCAGGAACAAGCCCCAAGGTTCACTTTTTACTGAGAGACTTTTACCATAGTGCTTTCTTGACACTGAAAAGAAAAACAGAACAATGAAAAAAGAAAGTCAACAATTTTTTCAGTGAAGAGACTCACAGAGATTGAAGGTTCTCAGAAAACATTGGGCCAATGCATCATATTACATATGAGAAAACTAAAGTCCGCAGGTGACAAAATTTGGCAAATCTACATAGTTAAAATGAAAACAAACAGACTGGTAATCATACCTGGTGCTGGAGGGGAGGCTGCAATCTGGGGAGCCTGTTACCCAGACATCCCAGCTGGTAGAGTGTGGTACTACAAAGATAAAGCCACTGTGGTTAGTATCTCGCCTCAACTTTAAAGTTCAGGAAAATCAAATTTGTCAACATTCCCATGGTTATTTAGATTTAGGGGAACTAACATAAATGCCAAAATATCAATTTATAAAAGAAAATATTGTGACTTTTCATATTCTCTATATAGAACGTGCCCATTCTTCCATAATCATCCTTATGACATCCAGCATCCTTACAATGACTGAGAAGTGGTAAATTTGGAAGCTTCTTAGGTGAGTGTTGAGAGGGCTGAGGAACAGAATGGTCTTGGGACATCTAGTCATCCCAATTTTACAATTGAGCTATGGACTGATAACACCACTATCTCTGTTCTCTAAATAAGCATGGCAAAACTGTAGTTTCCTGAATGTCCTTCATCAATAATCCATGCTGGCTTTTTCACAGTTAGTGTCTAGATAAGGTTCAACAACATATGTGTGGTTTCACATGGTTGTATTTTAATTACATTTAACTCCCCCTTTCAGATCAATCACCTTGATTGAAGTTCTGACTGTTGTCTTGCTAAGGATTCTTCTGGAACATGATCCCTTTTGCTTTTCTCTTCAGCTTGCTTGGCAACTTTCTACCCACTTTCCTCAAAATTCCAAGACATCAGACTCACCTCCAATTCATCTCCAGTTCATGTGACGGCTGCTGTCCCTGCTGGTGAAGTGGCTGTGCTGTCTGGGGTATACACCCTGGGGTTCGTTGTCACAGGCCAAGAATTCAGGACACAGACACATGTAGGCGGGTTAGGGAGTGGAAAGTTTAATAGATAGAAGAAAGGAGAGAAGAGAGCAGCTCTTTGAGAGAGAGAGATCTGAAAAGTGGGGAGGCGGTGGACCAAAACAGATACAATAGATTGGAGAAGGCAGTATCTGATTTACATAGGATTCAAAGACTGGTTCGATCAGGTATGCTATCTACATAGTGTGCAGGGAAAGCTGGTAGCCCCACCCTAATCTTATTATGCAAATCGGCTTTCCAGTTGATCAGAGCCATCTTGTCTGCTCCTTACAATACACTTGGCTGGCAGGGAAGGGAAGATGGAGCCGTCATTCTGAAAATATCTAGTCCCTAGTTCCTGCTGGCATTCACCTATGCAAGCTTCCAGCTTGCAGACTGCTCTTTGTTAGAAAATGATTTGGGGCTGCTTTTCATTAAAAAGAAAAGCCTTACCCAGGACTCCCATGCGCTTGCTATCTGCCTAAATAATTCCTTCTTAACTCCTACATCGCTGGGGAGATAGTAGGAGTGCTGCCCCTGTCCCCTTGCATGAGAGGGGACCTTGTTTGCTACTGCCCCAGGGAACGACCACCATCTTTCTCTATTGCCTGCATGACTGCAGCATGGTGAGGTTCTATGTCCCTGTACCCCTTTTGACTAAGGATGCTTTCCTTCTTCCCTGTGATTTTGCTGGAGAATGAGAGGCAGAATTAAAACTTGCTGCATTTGTATTCAGATTTAAAATTTGTGTCACTGCATAAAGTATTGCTTGTGTAGGAAGGAAAGCATATTGTTTTAGCCCACAGGGGAACTAGAAATGTGATCAGTCATCAGAATAAGGCAGATGTGTGCTAAATATTTCAGGCATTTATTAGCAGATAATTTATTGGTTTATTATCAAATGTAGCAAATATTTGTCACGTCTGCTTTGGATTAATTTTTTTAGAGTGAAGCCTTAGGCCAATTTCTGGCAACAGGGATTGAAAACACTTTGCTATTTCCCTTATTGAAACGACCTTGTTGCCTGGGTGGGTGCCCAAGTCGTTGGTCTCATAGCCGAGGAAATCGAGGATGCAGACACACCAAGGGTGAGGTCCGAGCAGAAGAAGAAGTTTAATAGGTGAAAGAAAGAGAACATCTCTCTGTTGCAGAGAGGGGTCCCAAAAAGGGTTGCTGTGCCACAGTAAAATGAAAGGGTTTTTATAAGTGAGCTAGTGGGGAGGCAGTATTTTACCTACATAGTGTATGAAAAACCAGTTAAGACCAGGTGTGCCCTCTGCATAGAGTACGAATCTCTGGCAGCCCCCACTCCAGCCTTTTCTTATGGAGGCGGATCCTTTGCCTGAGCTACTCCACGTTGCTTTCCTACTGTGCACGTGCAAAAGAAAAAGAAAAAGAAAAAAAAAGTGGGAAGTGGAGCCCTCATGGTGGATGTGCCTGGTTCCAGGTACCCCTTTCTAGTGCAGCAGCTACAGGTAACTCCCCGCTGTAAGCTTCCAGCTTCCTTATCTACGTTTGCAGCACAATCATCCAGGCTGCTCTTTGTTAGAAGACACGTGTCTTCTTGGGCTGCTTTTTGTTAGAAAGGAAGTTCTACTGAGGAATTTTTGCCCTAGCTATCTCTTTTTACTTCCTCGCTCACTATGGGGTCCAGCCAAATCCAGTGGCATTGGGAATGGAAAGGAAGCAAGAATGGCAGATGATGTGGGAAGGTTTCCAATCAGTTAATTGGACTTAAGGGACAAGGGAGAAGTCAAAATAATGACGGAAATGATGGCCAAGAGAAGGGTCTTATTGTTAAAGGAAGCTCTGGAAAGGGAGATAATAGGTGTTTATAGCTATTTCCTGAGCAATCTCTGTTAGCAGGAAAATTCTCTGAAGCCATGTGCAGGGAGGCAGTTGCCAGTGACGGGAGTTGGTAAGAAATGCCAAAGTCCCCTGGATAATCATTAGATGAAGAAATTGTATTCTCCACAAGTTATCTTTGAAAGATGACTTAGTGTACATGATTGGAAATTATATCTTGGTTTATGGGAGTGATTCCTTCAAGGGGAATGCTTGGGGGATAATATATCATAGTTAAATATTCTGGTAACTTCAGGGGCTTTATTCTGCTGAGTGGGCATATGAGTGTGGGGATATCAAGGGCTTGGGACAATAAAGTGATCAAAGCACTGACTCGGTGGTCTTTTAATTCCTCCATTCTGCTCTTCCCTGTTCAGTGCTTAGCTTCTCTTAATATACATTTCACAAATATGTTTATTCTGAGGAACTATATCATTAGCCTGACCAGGTGTTCAAATGTTTCCATAGAGGCCTTTCTGTTCCTTTATCTTTCCTATCAGAACTTTCAAATAAATAGCAATAATCAATACTGATTGATAACAAATATCAATAAGCAAAATACATCAAATAAATATGTAGCAGAATATGGTGCTTAAGAGTACAGGGCTGCTTGGCTGTGAATCCTGACTCCATTGCCTGCCAGTGATACCTAAATGGTGTAATTTAGGGCATCTTAACTAACCTTCAATTGCCTCAGTATTCTCATCTATAAAAAGATGTTAATACTTGTCTCACAGGGTTGTTTGAGGATTAAACGAGTTAATGCACATGAAACCCTGCTAATAATTCCTACCACATAGTAATTGCTCAATAAAATTAACTATCATAAAAAGCATTCATTAAATAAAAACTGAGTACTTCTTACCTTCCTTTTATCCACCTCTCAGCATTATGCACATAGAGAGGTTTCAGAGTTTCTATGATCACATTTCCTTGCTTTAAGAAGTAGGCAAGGGATTTGGCCCTTTTTAAATAAGAGAACACACTGATGATCAGAAGTGTAGATACCTTGACTGAGGTGTATATGATACAGTTTTATATAATGAGGCCAAGTGATATTATTTACACTTTTTTTTTTTTTTTTTTTTTTTTTTTTTTGAGACAGGGTCTCTTAACTCCACAGTGCCCTGGCTGCAAGGTGCAGTGGTGCGATGTCAACTAACTGCCCTGGCTGGAGTGCAGTGGTGCGATGTCAACTAACTGCAACCTCCACCTCCTGGGCTCAAAAGATACCCCCACCTTAGCCTCCCAAGTAGCTGGGACTACTGGCATGCACACCATGCCCAGCTAATTTTTTGTGGAGATGGGGTTTCTTCATGTTGCCCAGGCTGGCCTCAAACTTCTGGGCTCAAGCCATGAGCCTGCCTCAGTCTCCAAAAGTGCTGGGATTATAGGCATGAGCCACAGCACCCAGCTGCCACTATATTTTTGAAATAATAGATCATTAACCCCTGTGGCTATCTAATCCATAGAACTTCAGAAAGTAAAATCAAAAAGGGTGAAAGAGTTCAAGTCTTGCATCATCTATAATCTTATCTTGCACCCTGTCCCTCACCGAATATTTTGAAGCAAATCCCAGACATCATATCATTTCCTCCATAAATATTTCAATATACATCTCTGAAAGTTTAGAACTCTTTCAAAAAGTTAATTTCCATATGATTATCATACTTAAAATTAAAAATTATTCCTTAGGCCAGGCGTGGTGGTTCACGCCTGTAATCCCAGCACTTTGGGAGGCTGAGGTGGGTGGATCATGAGGTCAGGTGTTCGAGATCAGCCTGGCCAACATAATGATACCCCATCTCTACTAAAAATACAAACAATTAGCCAGGTGTGGTGGCAGGCACCTGTAATCCCAGCTACTCGGGAGGCTGAGGCAAGAGAATCACTTGGACCAGGAAGGCGGAGGTTGCAGTGAACTGAGATCGTACCACTGCACTCCAGCCTGGGTGACAGTGAAAGACTCTGTCTCAAAAAAAAAAAAAAAAAAAAAAAAAAAAAAATCCGTAATACTATTTTTTTTAAGATGAAGTCTTGCTTTGTTATCCAAGTTAGAGTGCAGTGGGGTGCTCTTGGCTCACTGCAACCTCTGCCTCCCAGGTTCAAGCAATTCTCCTGCCTCAGCATCCGGAGTAACTGGGATTACAGGTGTGTAACACGTGATTGGCTAATTTTTGTATTTTTGGTAGAAATGGGGTTTCACCATGTTGCCCAGGCTGGTCTCGAACTCCTGACCTTGAGTGATCCACCTGCCTCGGCCTCCCAAAGTGCTGAGATTACAGGCATGAGCCACTATGCCTGGCCCCTTAATACTATTAAATATCTAGTAAGTGTTCTATTTTTCCTGATTCTCTTTTCTTCTTTTACAATTTGACTGACTCAGAAGTCCCAAAAAGATCTATACTTTGCAGTTGATTGATTTATCTTTTAAACCTCTTTTAAGATATAGACCTTGTTGGTTTTTTCCTTGCATTTTATTTGTCAAAGAAACAGGTTGTTTGTCCTAAAGAGATTTTTACAGTCCAGATTGTGTTGTGTAATTCCTTTGAAACCTGGATTTCTTATAAACTAGTAAACCTAAAATTTTAGTAGGATTTGGGTTTTATTTACTGTATTTTACTTTGTATTCAAAAATCCTTGTAGGCAGAGTTATATTTGCCATTGTCTAGCAATGTAAGTTCTTGGTTATATCCTCTTATCCCCTAGTTTTCAAAACAATAAATTGTTTTCCTTTCACTCTCCGAAGATGATCACTGAAATTTGACTTAAGTATTTGATATGATTTGGCTCTGTGTCCCCACCCAAATCTTATCTTGAATTGTAATAATTCCCACATGTTGTGGGACTGACCTGGTGGGAGTTAATTGAATCATGGGAGCAAATTTTTCCCATGCTGTTCTTGTGATAGTAAGTCTCACGACATCTGATGGTTTTATAAAGAGAAGTTTCCCTGCACATGCCCTCTTGCCTGCCACCAGGTAAGATGTGCTTTTGCTTCTCCTTTGCCTTCTGCCATGATTGTGAGGCCTCCTCAGCCATGTGTAACTGTGAGTCCATTAAACCCTTCTTCTTTATAAATACCCTAGTCTGGGGTAGGTTTTTATTAGGAGCATGAGAACAGACTATTACAGTATTATTATAAACACATGAATTTCAACACTTAATGTAATTTATTTCATTTATTAATCTTATTTGTAGTCAAATTTGCCCATCATTGGCTAGTGAAAAACTCTTGAAAATGGCTGTTGAATTATTTGCTCATGATTTCAATAGACTTTGTTAGCTTCTTACTTTTTGGAAAGAACAGATGTTTTAGACTCATCGTTAACATTTTCTTTCTCAAGCTGAAAGCAATTATTTCACTAAGGAATTCTGGTTCTTTGCAGTGGGAAATCAT